AAACATAGATGTTGTACATAGATGTTGTATGTGGATGATGTACATAGATGATGTTCGAAGATGATGTTCATGATAACATGTACATGCACATGGGAGGTACAGAGAGGTACTCCCAGTAGCACCACACATGGGGTCTTACTCTGGTTAAAGAGTACAATGGACAGTGTTAGGCCCGTAACCTTCATCACTCGACCTCTTGGGCTCCTTGGACACCCTCCCCCCCCCACCCCTACCCGGCTGGGGGTCTCTGCTCTGAGGTAAGAGGTATCAAGAGAGAGAGAGAGGGAGGTTACCTCTGAGGAAGGATACCTATTCTTAGGGAAGTTGTACTAATCTAAGGAAAGTGAAACTACCCATATTGAAGCTGTTTCGAGTCTCAAGGTGCTTGGCGAGGTCTTTAATAAGGGTTTACTGTACGGGATCAACACTCAGGGGGAGGCAGGTGTTACGGGTCAGGCCCTGGGGTCAGGGTGGGGTCAGCCCTGGGGTCAGGTGGGGGGAGAGGCGGGAGCAAGGGAGACAGAGATGGGGGTGTTTCTAAGGTAAGATATACCATATCACCACTTTATGATATGTCATGACACTCTTGGCACCCCTCAAGTGGTGAGGGGTGCCAAGTGTGTGCTGGGGTAAGGTGCAGCACGAGGAGTGCCAGACGGAGTGTCAAGTGAGTAACGGAGTGACAGGCGCCTCACCTGATTTCAGGCGTTGGTCCCAGTCAGTTTTTCACCCTGAGGTGAGAGTTTGGGTGTGGCTCTCCCTCTTGGCCCTGAGTGTGGCACTCCCTTGGCCCTGAGTGTGGCTCTCCCTCTGGCCCTGAGTGTGGCACTCCCCCTGGCCCTGAGTGTGGCACTCCCTTGGCCCTGAGTGTGGCTCTCCCCCTGGCCCTGAGTGTGGCACTCCCTCTTGGCCCTGAGTGTGGCACTCCCTCTTGGCCCTGAGTGTGGCACTCCCTCTTGGCCCTGAGTGTGGCACTCCCTCTTGGCCCTGAGTGTGGCACTCCCACTTGGCCCTGAGTGTGGCTCTCCCTCTTGGCCCTGAGTGTGGCACTCCCTCTTGGCCCTGAGTGTGGCACTCCCTCTTGGCTCTGAGTGTGGCTCTCCCTCTTGGCCCTGAGTGTGGCACTCCCTTGGCCCTGAGTGTGGCTCTCCCCCTGGCCCTGAGTGTGGCACTCCCTCTTGGCCCTGAGTGTGGCACTCCCTTGGCCCTGAGTGTGGCACTCCCTTGGCCCTGAGTGTGGCACTCCCTTGGCCCTGAGTGTGGCTCTCCCCCTGGCCCTGAGTGTGGCACTCCCTTGGCCCTGAGCGCCTCTACTGCACCCCGCGAATAGTCCTGCTGCACACTCACACAAGTTGGCACCTTACCAAAGGCACTGTACTCAAGGGCCACTGGTTACTCAGGTCATCTTTCACCACCAAAGGTCAAATTCACTCCAAAACATCTACCACTCAGGGGCTACTCATGCCCGTGCAGCCTCTTGGGTGGCTTAATCTTCATCAATCAATCAATCAATCACAGATCATGTAATCACTCTTAATCAATGATAGTCTTAGAGACTCAAGGCGTCTACAGAAGCCAGATATTGGCGCAAGGAAATCTTTATTTCCTTGAAAGTGAAAGTTGCCCCGTACGGTATATTAGAAGCATACACAACATACTCGGGTCACCTCACCTCACCTGGGGCCAGATTCACGAAGCAGTTACGCAAGCACTTACGAACCTGTACATCTTTTATCAATCGTTGGCGGCTTTGTTTATAGTTATTATACAGTTAATGAGCTCCGAAGCACCAGGAGGTTGTTTATAACAATAACAACAGTTGATTGGGAAGTGTTTCATGCTTGTAAACTGTTTAATATATGTAACCAAAGCCGTCAAAGATTGAGGAAAGATGTACACGTTCGTAAGTGCTTGCGTAACTGCTTCGTGAATCAGGACCCAGGTACGTAAGTACTTGCGTAACTGCTTCGTGAATCAGGGCCCCAGATCTATCACATTATCCTTACCCGGCGACCTTCCTCTCGGGGCAAAGTTATGCACGTTCTTCAATTTAAATTTCTTGAATATATTTGCCATATATTTTTTTTTAATATTCATTCGCTTGTAGTTCTGTTTGGGGTTTAATGCTGGAGTTTTCCCTAGTCAGCTAGGGAAGAGAGAGCACCTACTGGAGAGCTAGGGAAGAGAGAGCACCTACTGGAGAGCTAGGGAAGAGAGAGCACCTACTGGAGAGCTGGGGAAGAGAGAGCACCTACTGGAGAGCTGGGGAAGAGAGAGCACCTACTGGAGAGCTGGGGAAGAGAGAGCACCTACTGGAGAGCTGGGGAAGAGAGATCACCTACTGGAGAGCTGGGGAAGAGAGATCACCTGCTGGAGAGCTAGGGGAAGAGAGCACCAGCTAGAGAGCTACGGAAGAAAGAGAGCACCTGCTTTGGAGCTGGAGAAGAGAGTACCTGCTGTAGAGCTGGGGAAGAAGGCACTTGCTGTAGAGCTATGGAAGAGAGAGTACCTGCTGGAGAGCTGAGGAAGAGTGAGCACCTGCTGTAGAGTTATCTAAGAGAGCACCTGCTGGAGAGGTAGGGAAGAAAGAGAGCACCACCTGTAGAGCTTGGGGAGAGAGAGCACCTGCTGTAGAGTTATGGAAGAGACCACCTGCTGGGGAGCTAGGAAAGAAAGAGAGCAAATGCTGTAGAGCTAGGAAAGAGAGAGAGAGCAAATGCTGTAGAGCTAGGAAAGAGAGTGAGAGCACTTGCAGGAGAGCTAGGGAAGAGAGAGCACCTGCTGTAGAGCTAGGAAAGAGAGAGCACCTGCTGGAGAGCTGGGGAAGAGAGAGAGCACCTGCTATAGAGCTAGGGAAGAGTGAGCACCTGCTGGAGAGCTAGGGAAGAAAGAGCACCTGCTGTAGAGTTATGGAAGAGAGCACCTGCTGTAGAGTTATGGAAGAGAGCACCTGCTGTAGAGTTATGGAAGAGAGCACCTGCTGGAGATCTGGGGAAGAGAGAGCACCTGCTGTAGAGCTGGGGAAGAGAGAGCACCTGCTGTAGAGCTGGGGAAGAGAGCACCTGCTGTAGAGCTACGGAAGAGAGAGCATCTGCTGTAGAGCTAAGGAAGAGAGAGCACCTGCTGTAGAGTTATGGAAGAGAGCACCTGCTGGAGAGCTAGGGAAGAGAGAACACCTGCTGTAGAGCTGGGGAAGAGAGCACCTGCTGTAGAGCTGGGGTAGAGAGAGAGCACCTGCTGTAGAGCTGGGGTAGAGAGAGAGCACCTGCTGTAGTTATGGAAGAGAGCACCTGCTGTAGAGCTGGGGTAGAGAGAGCACCTGCTGTAGAGCTTGGGAAGAGAGAGCACCTGCTGTAGATCTAAGGAAGAGAGAGCACCTGCTGTAGAGCTAGGGTAGAAAGAGAGCACCTGCTGAAGAGCTAGGGAACACAGTGCACCTGCTGTAGAGTTATGGAAAAAAGCACCTGCTGTAGAGCTAGGGAAGAGAGCACCTGCTGGAGAACTGAGGAAGAGAGAGCACCTGCTGTCGAGATAGGGAAGACAGTGCACCTGCTGTAGAGTTATGGAAAAGAGCACCTGGTGTAGAGCTAGGGAAGAAGCAGAGCACCTGCTGGAGAGCTAGGGAAGGAAGAGAGCACCTGCTGGAGAGCTAGGGAAGAAAGAGAGCACCTGCTGAATAGCTGGGGAAGAGAGAGCACCTGCTGTAGAGCTAGGGAAGAGTGAGCACCTGCTGCAGAGCTAGGAAAGAGAGCACCTGCTGTAGAGCTGGGGAAGAGTGAGCACCTGCTGGAGAGCTAGGAAAGAGAGCACCTGCTGTAGAGCTGGGGAAGAAAGAGAGCACCTGCTGTAGAGCTGGGGAAGAAAGAGAGCACCTGCTGTAGAGCTCGGGAAGAGAGCACCTGTTGGAGAGGTAGGAAGAGAACACCTGCTGGGGAGCTAGGAAAGAAAGTGAGCACCAGCTGTAGAGCTTGGGAACAGAGAGCACCTGCTGTAGAGTTATGGAAGAGAGCACCTGCTGTAGAGCTAGGGAAGAGAGACCACCAGCTGTAGAGCTAGGAAAGACACCCCCTGCTGTAGAGCTAGGGAAGAAAGAGAGCACCTGCTGTAGAGCTCGGGAAGAGAGCACCTGTTGGAGAGGGAGGGAAGAGCACCTGCTGGAGCTAGGGAATAGAGAGCACCTGCTGGAGAGCTGGGGAAGAAAGAGAGCACCTGCTGTAGAGCTAAGAAAGAAAGAGCACCTGTTGTAGAGCTAGGGAAGAAAGCACTTGCTGTAGAGCTATGGAAGAGAGAGCACCTGCTGTAGAGCTGGGGAAGAGAGAGCACCTGCTAGAGAGCTGGGAAGAGAGAGCACCTGCTGGAGAGCTGGGAAGAGAGAGCACCTGCTGGAGAGCTGGGAAGAAAGATAGCATCTGTTGTAGAGCTAGGGAAGAGAGAGCACCTGCTGTAGAGCTAAGGAAAAGAGAGCACCTGCTGTAGAGCTAAGGAAAAGAGAGCATCTGTAGATTTATGGAAGAGAGCACCTGCTGGAGAGCTAGGGAAGAAAGATCACCTGCTGGAGAGCAAGGGAAGAGAGAGCACCTGCTGGAGAGCAAGGGAAGAGAGAGCACCTGCTGGAGAGCTAGGGGAAGAGAGCACCTGCTGTAGAGCTAGGGAGGAGAGAGCACCTGCTGTAGAGCTAGGGGAAGAGAGCACCTGCTGGAGAGCTATGGAAGAGAGAGCACCTGCTGAAGAGCTGGGGAAGAGAGAGCACCTGCTGTAGACCTAGGGAAGAGAGAGCACCTACTGTCGAGCTAAGGAAGAGAGAGTACCTGCTGTAGAGTTATGGAAGAGAGCACCTGCTGTAGAGCTAGGGAAGGAAGAGAGCACCTGCTGGAGAGCTAGGGAAGAAAGAGAGCACCTGCTGAAGAGCTGGGGAAGAAAGAGAGCACCTGCTGTAGAGCTAGGGAAGAAAGAGAGCACCTGCTGAAGAGCTGTAAAAGGTAGCCACTGAAACAAATTTATATTTAATAAAATATTTATTGAGCATTTGGTCAAATTTGTAAATACAAAAGTTGAATACATAAAATCTATTAAATTCAACAATATTTTGAAGTATGAAGGTATCACATTTGATAAAAGGGGGGAGCCTTCGGTTCCGTATACACACTGGAGAGTATTTACACTTGGTCACACTACCCAGTGGACACACTGGTACACAGTCAAGTGGTCCTTGAACTGACAAGCTGGCACTAGTAAAGCTTCACTCGAGATCTCAGTCGTCTAAAGCTTAAGTTTTAGCTTTAATATGGTATATTCTACGAATCCTCAAAGCTATATATTGGAATAGTCCACACCAGACCAGGTGATTGGTATATGCCAGTCCAAGCTGGGTGACTGGTATATGCCAAAGCAGACTAGATGTCTGGTGCATACAATACAAGCTGAGTGATTGGAATATTCAGTACAGGGTGTAGGTGACATGTGATTAGATAGAATACAACTGATAGTATATTGATTAGATAGAATACAACTGATCCAGTTACCTGACGTAATGAATGACTGGCCTCCTAGCCAAGCTTTACTAACGCAGATGTTCATACCACCACTAACGTAGCCTCGGCCTGGCCAGTCGTTAGTGTGAGTCAACATGGACATGCTGAGTAAACACTTTCGAAGGTGAGTACTCACATTTGAAGTGGATTACATCAGATATAGTTCTTTATAAACAGTATCAGCTGTCAGGCAGTGATAAGTACATGATGTAAACAGTACCACGTGTCAACATGAAAACTCACGCGTCTTGTCTACAGCAACAAATGATGTGTTGTAAACAAAACCACGTGGCAGTGACGAGACATAAACAAACCCACGTGTCGCGCGCGCACCCCCGCAGCGACACGTCAGTCATCTGTTACACTCCCACCTTGGACACTGTTGAAACATGACAATAACGGTGACCAGCATTCCTCAGGGAAGATGACACAATAATAGTTATTACTGGCAAATGTGGATGGCAGGATGATGAGGTGAGATGCATAACGTGATGAGATGAGTGATTACGATGATCTCCCAATGACGTGACTATAGGAATGCCCGCTAGGAATGTACAGGGTGTGATTATATGTATATATATATATGTGCGTGTCTGGGGGAATGGAGGGGTGGATAGTCAGGTGTGTGTGTGTGTGTATTCTACAATCAGTTTTGCACCGAGAGGATTGTGTTTGCTTGACCGCGCAGTGTCAAGTGTCAATGCACACTTTGCTGCAGAGAATAATAATTTCTTGACCCAACAATAAGCTTTAGCAGTGACACGAAAGCTTATTAACGTGTTGGTGTCTTGGACGGATTCAAGTTGCGCAGTTAGCATAAGATATTCACCAATATTACATCTAATTCATGTCAGGAAAGTGTTGTTCACCTGTGCTACTGGCATGCACCTGTTACTGATTGACAGCTGCTGGCATGCACCTGTTACTGATTGACAGCTGCTGGCATGCACCTGTTACTGATTGACAGCTGCTGGCATGCACCTGTTACTGATTGACAGCTGCTGGCATGCACCTGTTACTGATTGACAGCTGCTGGCATGCACCTGTTACCGATTGACAGCTGCTGGCATGCACCTGTGATGAGATATGTTGCTATACACACTAATGCATGCCAGGTGCTCATGTTATATGCAATATCAGAGCAGCTGCTATAATGTAGGACAGTTTGAAGTCACCAGCAGCTGCTGTCTACATGTGAGAGTATATGACAGGGTGTCGCCACCAGCTACAACTGTCATACCCGTGACAGTATGACAGTGCAGCTGACGACTGTGAGCGGGTGTACTGGCACAGTTTGGGGTGCAAGAATGCAGGCAAGCCTCGCATCCATCCACCCCCGCCCGGCCTCTTGAAGTGTTGCTAAGCTTTACTTCCTCAAAGCTTCACGTGAATGAATACAGTAATCAAGTAATGTGATTTAGATGCAATATAAAGTTTAATTCACACAGACAAAATATAAAATCTTAAGAAATATTCCGGTGAAAAATAGCCAGGCTTTATACAACTTTCTGATTATTGAGAATAAACACATTGCAGCTGTTTCATGTAACAATATATTTAAATAGTCTAATAACACTTAAATGTTTGATAATTGACAAATAAAAAAATATAATTCTAATACAACTTTGTGAGTTTGACTTCAAGCTAGGAGCAGCAAACCCAGCACTCACTAAACAAGGATAAGAGTAGCTACGTAACGTATTGATGAACTCCAAGTAAACAAGGAGTAATACTAGACCGCCTGATTGACTATCGCACCGCTGGTGTCAGGCTTTATCTGGTATTACTCAACAGGTTCAGTTGTCGGTAAGAGAGAAGGGCGAGGCTAGCGATGTGTTGTTGTTGTCGGAGGGTGAAGGTGACTGATCCAGAGGGAACAAAACTTTTATGTGTACAACTATTCCAACCAATGAATTTGTCTGGACATTAGAGCATGACAAAACTGGACCAGCCAGCCATGAACCAACGTCCAAGAACCGTTGCTTGGGGTCTCGGTGGTACACCAGCTTTGTTCATCTGACTATAGGTTATTTTCATCGTGACTGACCCTTCTCATAAATAATACTGCCGATGTGGAGGTTTAGCTTTGAGCAAGTACCCGTAATATTGGGTGGTGTCCGGCAGAGTACCACAATAGTGGCCTCTCCTCTGTCATCGACCACAGAGGTGGAACAGAGTTTGGCATTTGGCATGACAACACAGAACACTCTGTTTCCTCTTGGACCGTAATGGTTTACAAGTCCATGAGTGTAACAAGTGCCTAAGAGTAAGGTTAGGACAAGATAGTGCGGGTATCTGTGGTGAGAAAATCCCGGACCATCCCAGATTCTAACTTCATTCTACGAGCAGAATGTCGTGAATCCATCTCTACTTTGATACTAAGGTCCAATATGAGTTTTTGTCAGGTAGAGCAAAATTAAAGTTAGAACAAATCATAACTTAAATTTAACTAATGGTGCGCAGAATTAAATAAGTATTAAATAATAAAGCTAGCCTAATAATCATGATATTCAATATTATAAAAGTATATTTGATCTGGCAACTGGCGCACACAGCTGTACTCAACAGTTAGTGCCATCAGTAGTCTACCCAGGGCAATACTTTGCCACGGCTCTTCCTGAACACAGTGAGACGTAGGGTCAATATATTGGAGGTAATGGCCAGCATAACGAGTGATGGGGTCAATGAGGCTAGAATTATTGACCGAGTAAAGCCTAATTATGGTAGAAAAAACAAGTTTCTGACTTCATCAGCATTTACAAACACATCAAATGAGCAAGTAATTCGAGACTTTTACGGCTTGAAGTCATTAATAAGTATGCACAAAAATACAATTTTAACTTATAACTCTTTTTTTCTAGTGTTGGAACCCAGATAGTATTAATTTAAAATATTATATATTAATGATTGCTTTTGAACCAAAACTACCTCTTGAGTAAATTGTATATAATTTTGAGTGTTATTAAGGAAAGTGAGAGTAACCCATAATAGGCAATTATAAATATTTGTGCTAATCAGGACTATCAGGACGCCTGAGAACCTCAAACTGGTATAACTAGGCTTTTCATTTAGCACTTTCCTCAAAAGTTTAAATGTTTCATAACAGCTATTTAAGCGTTTGACTATTTTTATCTGTGTGTGGTTAAATTAATGTTTTCAGAATATACTTTAGCTTACAAATATTAAAAGTTTGGTTGTACAGGTTGTTAAAGTTGCTGCTCCACAAGACATTTAATATTGGAACAAAGGTAAATCAATTATCCATTCAGTGGATAACATCAATCTCATTTAATGTACAGATTTACCTGTAGTTCAAAGTTTAAAACCTTGTTCCATTGGTATAATGATGAAATAAAAGATATGCATAGGGGGATGAAGTCTCTTAGTACGTATTCCCCATCCTTAAGAGATCTTGTTTCATCTTCCCGGTTTAGTACAGTCTTATTTTTTTAAGGAATTGGCATTGGCTTTAGGCATTGTATGTACTAGCTCCATTTATAAATCGATCAATTTATATAAAATCTCTTGTATGTATGGACCTTACCTGAATAAACATTTTATTTTTCATTTTATTTATTTTTATTGACGATGTTACGTTATTAAGGTCAGTATCTTATATCTTGAGTGATTCTTTAAGAGCCAATAATGAGTGAATATAATAGACTGTGATGCTCTGGGTAACGAGGCAACTGGCCAGCTGTTGCCATACAACTGCTCTAGTTGTATGGCAACTAGAGCAACTTCAGCTCTTTAGTAAGCTTATTAATAAAGAAATTGGACTGTTTAGCACCAGTTTTAACAATAGGCTAATGATGGATTCACGGCACTCCGAGGGGGGCAACAAAATACAATGCATTATTACACATACTGCAACTGACTGATAACGCAAGCTTTGAACACAAATATTAAGCACTTGAAAAAATAAATTGAACAGTTGTTTACATATAAATTACTGGTGGCTGATACCATGGCAAGTTATCGCACAGCCGTGATATGATACATTTTGACAATTGTCACACACACAACAATCACATAATTACTGAATTGTGGTTAACAGTGAAAGATAAGAAAAAAAAAGCATGCGTACCTTCTGTTTAAAGGTCCTCGAGAGAAAATATATTAAACTGTTTTTAAATAATTTACGAAAAAAAGTGTATAGGATTGTTTACAAAACTCACAAGGAAAAAAGAGAGATTGTCTTAGCTCGTGTGAAATGTTCTTCCGCGTCGCACCAGACAGTAGGTGAAGGAGGGGGGAGGGGGGGGGGTAAGATAATTATAACCCACAGTACATCAGGAAAGATGCTGTTTGACAGATTAACGACGATACGAGTCTGTGGGTGATGGGAGAAGAGGAGGAAGTTCAAATGCACCTGTTTAACGAGGGAAGGTTTTAATTCCCTAGATGCCAGGGTGCATTCGAATTAATAGTAAACAGATAACAATTAAAATTAAAAAAAAAGTCTCGTGGACAGGCAGGTGAGGGCACCCATGGTGGGCACCCACGGTGAGCTCCCACGGTGGGCACCCAGGGTGGGCTCCCACTCCCACCGTCCGCCTCCCACAGCCCACGTGACTCAACAGCTGTTATATTAACCTGTCACTAGTGGGGGGGGGGGGTTGTCTGTCAAGACATGCAGTGTTTACACTTGAAGTCTTACTCCAGGTACCAAGTCACACTTTGGGCTTCATACCTAGCCCATTTTTCATATATAAATCTATATTTATAATATATATAATATGTACAGAAGAATCACTGATGTTACATCTTGAAACACGCTAATTACAGGATCATTCACTCTAGTGAAACATAGCCTCAAGTGCTTCATTCCTTCGCAGGCATAGTATTTATTCTTAGATTATAATAACGCATACACACATATCACATGGGGTTATCACGTCACTACATTATATACAAATTGTTACATGTCCGAGAATTCAATGACATTTGTTCATTAACTTTTGACACCAAGCTTGACAGTTGGCATTGATTGGCACCGTGCCCCCCCCCCCCCACTCAGTGTCGCCACACTGCTTAAAATGGGAATCACATTTGCGAGGGACTTTTGAACAATGTAACGTACATAATGGACAGTTCAATGTGGTGCCATTTCGTTGTAGTAACGATATACAAGTCTTCCTAAAACAGAAAACCTTTGTGGAACAATTGTTTAAGTCAGCAATTTTCATGGCACGGAAGAAGGGGTTCAATTAGTTCATCATGGGGAGGATTTAAGGTGATAGTTTTCATGGCACCGATTGAAACACTTTCATATGACGAATTACGAAACCGCTTCGTGGACACATGCGCTGATATGTTTATTTTGAACAGTATACATAGGCTTATGGGAATAGTCCCCATGTCCACAGTGCATGTCCTCACGAAGAATTTAATTTTAGCACAGCCCTTAAATAGTGAAGTCACAGAAGCAACGTGGTACAGAGTATATACGGTCAAGGAAATATTTACTTTGCGAGCCGATGCTGGCGGTCACAGTTTTAAGGTGACGACGACCCCAGCACCGGCCCGGCGGAGACTGTTACCTTGAGTGCGTGCTGGTGGGACTGTACACCGCCTGCTCCTGGCCTGCAGATTGGTTAGGGTGACCTAGGTGAGACAACCGTCACCGTCTGTGCTTGTGCCACAGACCCAGGTTGAGCACAGAGAGGCGAGGCAGCTGCATGATTCTCTCCAGGCCCACCGTGGTGATGCGGTTGCACCCGTACAGGTCAATGCAGTAGAGATTGGTGAGGTGTTCGGCGATGAGCTGCAGGCCCTTGTCCGTGACTCTCACGCACTGCCCGATGTTGAGTGTGTCGAGTTCGTGGAGCGTGCGTGCGATGCGGTGGATGCCGTCGTCACTAATCTGACACGCCGAGCAGGAGAGTGACCGCAGGGTGAACAGGCCCTGGGAGATGTGCACTAGCGCCTGATCCCCGATCTTGTCGCAGAAGGAGACGTCCAGCGTGGTAATCCTCGAGCCTCCCTCCGCCAGGTAGGCTATCCCGATGTCGGAGATGTTATCACACGATCTTAAGTTTAACTCACGGAGGCTGGGCATCCGCGCCAAGTATTTGAGGCCCGAGTCTGTGATGCTGGCGCAGAAGGAGAGGTTAATACTCTTGAGGTTGGGGAGGCCGTGGGCGACGTGGCGCAGCGCCTCGTCTGACAGCTTCTGACAGTCCTGGAGGCCCAGGTGCTCGAGGGCCGTGGTGCCGTCGGCAGCCTCCTGGTGCTGACCCGCCAGGTACGCGATGCCCTGGTTACTCACTAAACAACACGACCTTAAATTAAGTCTCCGTAATTTCTTTAAGCCCCACGCCACTAACAAGAGGCCGGTGTTGGTGATATAAGAACACCCGCCCAGCTCCAGCACCTCCAAGTTCCTCAGCTGTTGCGCTATTTTTCCCAAGGAGGAGTCTGAGATCTGCTTACAGAGCGAGAGGTTGAGGTGGGTGAGGGAGGGGCACTCGCTGGCGAAGGCGTGCGTCAGGCCGATGTCGGAGACGTTGTAGCAGCCGGAGAGGTTGAGGGAGGTGATGTTGGGCACGCCGCTGATCACGTCCCTCAGCACCCGCCTCAACGACAACACCTGCACCCGCCGGATCCCTCGGCACACTAGAGACTCGAACAAAGACGGGTTGGGTCTGCGCAGGTGGAGCTTCGCCTCCACTCCTCTCCACACGCTCTTGTGATAGGCAGCATCCCGCCAGTTCGTACACACTTGCGCTACACGCCCTTTGTCTTTAACGTCCAAGTAACTGAATATAAGTGCTAGGATCTCTGGGTATAAACACGAAATATGCGTAGTTTGTGGACACGATGTGTCCTCTCCACAGACCTCCATCTTGACTGGCGAGAGATTCACTCCATAGCTGTTGCTTGGACTTGGCGAGTCACGTGAGCCGCTACTCGCGCCCTCATTGGTCCCTCCAGTCGTGACGTAGTGCGCGGGAAATTTGAACACAT